TTCTTCTTCTCCTTCTTCTTCCTCCTCTTCCCCTTCCTCCTCCTTCTTCCTCCTTCCTCCTTCCTCCACCTACCTCCTCCTTCTCTGCTCCCTGACCAGCGGCAGAAGGAAAGGCTGGACGGGGCAGAAAGAAAGGCACGGACAGACAGACGGAAAGGCACGGACAGACAGACGGAAAGGCTGGACGGGGCCGGGGCTGGCAGCGCCAGGCGGCTTGCCTCGGGGCCGGCCGCAGGGGCTGGGGAGGGGGTGCGCCGGCCGGACGGGCCCCGACGTGCAAGGACAGGGGCGCGCCGGCGGGGCCGCGCCGCCGTCTCGGGCTACTGGGGCGCGCCGGCGGGGCCTGCGGGGGCGCACGGCGCGGGGGGCTAGCTACGGCGGCGGTGGGGGCTGCGGGGGCGCGCGGCGTGGGGGGCGAGCTGCGGGGGCTGCGGGGGCGCGGTGGTGTGGCAGTGGCGGCGGCGGGGTAGCGTGTACGGGCGGGCGGGCTGGTGGGCGGCGTGCGGGTGTGGGGTGGCGGGGTGGGTGGCCGGTTAGGTTTAGATAAGGCATGCAGGGCCTTTTTTTTAAGTCTTCCCCGAGTGCCTTGTCCTGGCACTCGGGAAATGTCCTCTTCCTCGAATGCCAGGGAAGGCACTCGGGGAAGAAATTTTGTTTTTTTTGTTTTTTCTGCCTAATTTTTTTTTGTGAGGCCTTCCCACATTATTTAAAACTCCCTGTTCAAATTTGGGACAATTTTGACTTTTTTTGTTATATTTCGTTAGTTTTTTCGTTTCGTTGAATTTTTTTGCATACTTCGAATTTGAACTGCAGGTGCATGAAATAATAGAGTTTGGTGATTCAAAAAATTATATTAATGATATTTGGTGTATGTTGAGGCCTTATCCCGAAACTCGCATGAAATTTCGAGCATCTTGTTGACGTAACATGACGAACAACTTGTTGGAAAAGTGTATTTAAATTATATAAAATCCGAACGAAGTCCAAAAATCACAAAACTTGTCTGGGCGTCGTGTTATCGCATGTAGAGGCTATGATAAAAAAATTGAGAAGGTTTCGAGCAAGTTACGACATCGAATGCCTAAAACCCAGACATCTCCGCATGTGATCACTTGTAGAGGCATGTGATAACACGACTTGAGAATTTTTTTTTAAGTTTTAACGACGTGGGCGGGGTGGACCGTCAAGTAACATGTTTATTTGCCGAGTGCCGATCTTCCCCGAGTGTTGCATTCGGGGAAGAGGGCCTTTGCCGAGTGTTGCTCTTTACCGAGTGCCAGGATCTCTGCGGCACTTGGGAAAGCCTCTCTTCCCCGAGTGCAATTCTTCCCCGAGTGCAACACCCGATTTTGGGCACTCGGGGAAGCCAGCGACACTCGGGGAATTTTGCCTCTCCCGTAGTGTATAAAGGTCCCGCGGAAATGTTATGGCTATCGTGGAAACCTACATACAGTGTGTTGCCCCCACTCCCACATAGAATCTGGTCCATAGATCCTTGTCTTGACTTGTCTTCGGGCCCGCCTCCTAAAATTTCTGTCACATTGAATGTTTGACACATGCATATAATATTAAATATATACTAATTACGAAACTAATTGCACAACTTGCGACTAATTTGAGAGACGAATCTTTTAAGCCTAATTAGTCCATGATTTGACAACATGGTGCTACAGTAAACATGTGCTAATGACAGATTAATTAGGCTTAAAACATCGTCTCGTAAATTAGCCTCCATCTATGTAATTGGTTTTGTAATTAATCTATATTTAATACTCCTTATTAATATTTAAATATTCGATGTGACATGAATTTTAGAAGCGAATAAATAACCAATCACCACTCATCAGGCGAGGGCAGATCGTACAAGAAAAGTCAAATCCATTGGTGTCCCACTTCGAGCTGCGGAACAGTCGCCGCTCCTGCCTTACACACACCGTGCGCCAATTCTCAGTGCCCGCATCACTTTTCGTTCCTGAAAAAAATTTGATTGTGACGTGATTGTGATATTTGGGCTTTCCAAAGGGACCACGTACCATTCTTCCTAGACCAGAGTACTAGACAGGCGCCGGACACTTTTCGTTTCTGGAAAAATTCCATTTCCATCAAAAGTTATACGATATATATATACACACATGTATATACATATAAAACTTATATAAACAACGTTTTTCTGGGCCTATTTTTTGGACAACTTTTAAGCATATCTTGTGTGTAAGGCTAGATGAAAAACTCGAAGCTCATTACCTCGCTCGGCTCGTGGCTGGCTCGGCTCAGCTAGCTCGTTATAATAACGAGCCAAGTCGAGCCTAGATTTTAGCTCGTTAGCTATAACGAGCCAACTCGAGCCAGCTCGCGAGCCGAATGAGCCTCGCTTCCAGGAAAAAGCAGCAACTTATATTAGTTTTGCATTATTTCATGTCTTGCACTTTACAACTGATTGTGACTGGTCTAAACTCTATAAATTAGGATTATTATGACTTTATCATTTTGTCTTTAATGGATGTATGGTGTAATACTATAGTATATTAAGCACATATAAATACTTTGTTCAATTTAAGGCTGAGCCGAGCTGACCTTCTGGCTCATTAGGATAACGAGCCGAGCCGAGCTAGCTCGTTATCTTAACGAGCCAGAACGAGCCGAGTCGAACTGACTCGTTATCCAGCCCTAGTTGTGCACAAGATCCAAGAGAAGGTTATCACGAGAACTTACTTGAATAAACCTTTTTTTCCTTTTGGAAAAGTTCTTTTACATGTATCTTGTGTATATGAGTTTTTCACTACTCAACTAGTTTTGGAAAGAACATTCTAGTTTTGGAAACTTCAATAACAGCTTATAAACATAAGTTCCTTTTTTTGCTATTCAGTATCTTCAGAAAACTTGGCACAAAATAAGTTTTCAAAAGTTTAACTGTGGTTTTATGCAAAAAAAATTGTAACAACTCAATCAACTAAGTTTTCTAGAAAAACTTATAAGAACAAGACTTATTATACAACAAACAAGTTCTTAAAATAATTTTAGTCTTTTAGATAAACTTTAATTAACTTATTTCAAGATATCTACAAAAGATAGTGGAGAAATTTTTTATTTATAGCATGTAGGACTTAGGAGCAAATACTAAATGGGTAGGATTAGTGTGTAAAAAAGAGTAAAATAATAGAAAGAAAACGCTGTAGGAGAAAATGGGTAGAATGAGTGTGGAAAACGAGAAAAATGGAAAGAAACAAGGAGGAAGAAAAAGGAAAACATTAGGGGTGTGTTTGGTAGAGATTTAGATTTTTATAGAGTCGCATTAGATTAAGATCTGTCAAGAAACGTTTCAGGCGATGAATTAGAATCACTTTATAAAATCGTTCGGTGAGTAGAGTGGACTCCGATATTCAAAAGAATATATAATTTTTCTTAAGACGTAGAAACAAAAATATGCTTTAAAAAGATTCTGAACTTTTTTTGGATAAAGAATAACTTAAGTACTATCCATTTTAACTTATTGCATTAGAAAATAATTAACTGAAAAAAATTAAATACAAGTAAGAAGCGATGTGAGGAGAATCGGTGCGAAACCAACCTCTGGCGGCCGTTTCGTGTGTGTACGTAGAAACAATGAATCGTTTTTGTTTCGTATATCACCAGCTGAATGGAGCCGATTCTTCCAATTCGCATGAGAAACGGAATCGTTTCTCCTATCCAAAAGAGGCCTAAGTGATGGCCTTCAAACCTGTCCCCCTCGTATTGATGTAAATCATATTCCGTTACCATTTATAACACCAACTAGTCATATACTGTAAAGAATATCAAATGATCATTTATTTGGTATAATCAATATTGATACTCATTTGCATTGCATGTCATTATGTTCACAATTATTAAACTAAAAAGGGTTATGGTGACATCGTCACTAAAGTTTAACGGACATAGTAAGGGTCTATCTGTTTGATATGGTCATGTTCGCTTCAACTACTTTAGGAGTACTTTTCAGGAAGCGAACAATGTTTTTTTCTCACAATAAATCAGCATAAGCCAAATATCAGCGAAACATGACGTTTTTAGACTTTTAGCTTGAAAAAGCTAGTTTGCTGTTTTTTTCCTCTCAAAAGCTACCTTTCAGTTTTTTCTTATCTGAAAAACAAACTTTCTGTTTTTTTGACTTCGGGTTGCTGGCTTTTTGCAATTTACCTTTGTGATAAATTTAGCCCATCAAGAGCCAGAAAATTTTCTCTTAACGTGCTTTTCACCTTTTAGCTTATTTTGTTGTCAGCTTTCTAGCTTTTTTAAAAACAAGCTCAACAGCAGGGATGCTTGTTCTGGCTAGCAAAAGCCCAGCAAAAAACTAAAACAAAACAGGCCTTAATAATAACTTTTCTAAAACTGATAATAGTCTATCCAGATTCTTCCATCGTCTTCTTCACCAGTGACTTTCCTCGATCCAACTGATGCTCTAGATCAACAAAGCCGTGTTGAATGCCGGAATCGAAGTGTAGTCCTTATGCGGAATCCAATGACCAACCCAAAACATTGAACATGTCGCAAGATCCGACGTTTAAGAACCACTCCAAAACGCATTTGAATTGGTGAAAGAATGTCGGCAGTTGCATATATGGATATGCCGAGAAACTGAAACAATAATTCACAGTGCGCACAATACAGAACAGCAGATGCATAGCATATGTCCTCAAAAAAGAAGATGAGAACAACGCCAACAAGCAAGAAACTGGCACTATCCCTCGAGAAGGGGAAAAAAAGAAACTGGCACTATAGATGCATGCGCAGCAGAGATACACGGACGGTAACATCAGTGAAGACACAAGTAATAATGAGATTGAGGATTGGAATGAGGATAACATGCAGTCAGCTAGATTTGACGCCTGAGAATGTCGTCCAAGCAAGCCGGCCACGAAACACGAGTAGTGATAGCTTGATTTGGTGGAGACGGAGACGGAGTAGATCAGCTCAAACCTTTCCGGCCGGCCGGCGACGAGGTCACGAGTCTAGCTAGCTAGCTAGCCGCTCTGCTGGAGCCTGTGGAGCAACGCGGCGCGGAGGCAGCGCTCGTCTCGCAGCCCAGCGGGCACGTCGACGACGGCGTCCTGCACGGTCATGCCGCCCACCCTGCACACGCACGCGTGCTGCACCTGCAGATCCAGCGAGCGCAGCGCGAGCATGAGGTGCGCCGGCGCGTGGCGCGCCGCGGTCGTCGTCAGGCGCAGGGCCGCCGCGTCCAGCCCGGCGACCATCCGCACCTCCAGCCCCAGCTTCTCCTGGAGGAGGCCGAGGCCGAACGAGTGGGTGGCCGCCGCCGCCGCGGTGGTGACAGCGGCCGAAGCGGCGGTGGCCTGCTTGGCCTCGGCCTCGAGCTGCTCGACGCGGTCGCGCAGCTCGCCGATGTAGGCGGCGGCGTCCGCGAGGAGGGACGCCTTGTTCATCCTGGACACCGTGGGCACGGCGGCCCTGAGATCGCAGAAGCGGCGGTTTAGCTTGTCCCGCCGCTGCCGCTCGGCCTCCACGTGGCTGATGGTGGGGCCGTTGGTCCGAGGCCCGGGCTTCCGGCCACGCCGCTTCGGCGCAGGCGCCGGCGGCGGTTCACCGGATCCGGATCCGGACAGGTCGTTGCCCGCCGAGCGCCAGCCCTCGTCGCCATCCAAGGGTTCATCGAACCAGTCGTTGCCCTCCATCCTTTCCTCTGGGACATCCCAAGACACGAACTCGAGCTCCGGGAAGTGGCCGGCGGCGGAGAAGGAGGTGAGGGGAGGGAGAGCTGCATGATGAGGCGGGGTAGACGAGCTCATCCATTGCACGTACTGTTTGTGCAGGTGGTGTGGTCAGGCTTCCCGTTTATGGCTAAGCTATTTCCTAAAAATGGTACATCTGATTGTGGTAAGGCCATGGTTTTAAATCTCCGGCTATGCCTCTTAACTGTTGTCCTCCCCAACAGCTAAGAGCAACTATAGCCGGAGATAGCTGCAGCTAAGCCATTTAGCTGTTTTTGCCAAAATAAAAAAAAACACTAAAACTTGGCATAACCTGATAACAATTACTAACTGATGACCATTACTAAATACTAATTAATTCATAACCAGCAATTTACAAGAGTACAGGCACAAGATGATCTTAAATCATATCTGAATATGTCTAAAGGTATAAGCACAAGATGAGATTAAAAGTGATGAGCAGAGAAGAAACTTGCCAGCAGATTGCTTTTGGCATGATGTATGGCACATTGAGTTGGTCATGCTGCTTATGGAAGAACAGAACTTGGAGTTTGAATGGTGCTGCTGCCAGATTTCCTCCGCCGCAGCCGCCTCAAGCCACCTCCGTCGCTTGCCGTCGAGTTGTCGCTTGGGGAGAGGAAGAGGAGTGGGGTGCGCGCTGCAGCTTGGGGGAGAGGAAGAAGAGCGGGTCGCGCACCACCTTGCTGCCGCCGCCGCCGCTTTGGTCCGGAACCGGGCGCCGCCGCTACCGCTTCTAGTGGATTGGGATTTCGGAGTGAAGAGACCGAATGGGAGAGAGAGCCCATGGGTCAATGGGAGTCCTAGAGTTAGTGTCATTTGGGCCGGATGGCTATGCTTTATTGGGCCGTCCAAATACAGTTATCTCAAGCTAAATCAAAGCCTGTTTAGCAGCTATCTCCGGCTAACTGCAGCTATTAGCGTCTGTGATCACATAGCGCTAAAAATTGATTCTCCTAGCTGTTGTCTTCCCCAGCAGCAATCTCCGGCTATAGCTGCAGCAATAACCGGAGATATAAAACTTTGGGTAAGGCCCTTGCTCATGTTGTATGATAGGCACGGAAAGGAAACTACGAATAGCTTCTTCACTGAGACCTGTTTGGTAGAGCTCTCGGACCCTCTTCGGGAGACGTTCCATGGCTTCGCCTACCAAATGGGTATAGAAAACGTCTGCTTCGCTTTGCTCCTTTTGCAAATCACGCTCTTTGGAGCAGAGATCCTTCGAAGGAACCTAGAAAAGTGGTTTCGCCCCGCTCCTATGTCTGAGCGTACATGCTCTCCCCAAACTACCCTAGAGCTGGGTGCACAAGGCGTGGTGGACCGGGCGGAGTTGGAGTTCTAGAGTCCTAGCATATCAGGTCGAATTTAGAATCCTGGCAGGTTGTGGCAGACTAGAGTGTTGAGGCGAAGTCAGAGTCCGAGCGGTTGGGACGGCAAGACTAGCGGAGAGGAAAACGGGTTAGCTAGAGTCAGAAAGGGGTGGGTTGGGCGGTGGCACGAGCAGATAGAGGAGTCTACTGGATAAGAAAAAGGACAAACAGATGGGGGCGACGGATTCAGAGAAATGGATGTCGAGTGGAGAGGATAAGGGGAAATAGCAGGAAGAGAAAAGAAAGAAATAAAGGAAGATAAAAGAAATATAAGAAAAAATAGAAGGGTGTTATGGATATTTCACTATTTTTATCTACTATAAGAAGTTGTTCTAACAAAGTCTTTTGAAAATAGCTTTAGCTCCACTACGGAGTTGCTTCGCCAGCCAAAGCCAAACAATATACCGTTCATACATGTCACACGTTATATAAGGTTCATAATTACAGTTCATTCATCAGAGTACGAATTTAGGTTATTACAAACCAAGTTCAGTAAAATAGTAGCGAAAGCAAATTAAAGTTTGAAACTAACATCTGCCATCATTATTTGAACATAGTGCCAGCCCACGATCACACTTCCATAAAAGCATGTAAGAAGGATTAATAAGAGAAGCCTGCCCAGGGCTTATTCCTCGTCCACGGTGGGACAGAAGCAGTTCTTGCAATAGCCATAATAAACTGTACCATCTGCAACAATGGGAATAAAACCCTGAGTACGAGAAGATACTCAGCTAGACTTACCCGTCGTAAACAAAAAATAAAGTGACTCCAGGGATTATGCAAGGCTTTATAAGGGGAGCTAGCTTGATAATATTTTGCATAAAAAAGACTAATTCAATTATACAATTATAATTCGATCATTAAGTTAATTATCGATATTCATCTCTAGGTTAGCAACTAACCTGTGCCAAACATGTGGTATGTCATTTAGTAGCATACAATAGTAACCATGGCCGGTGTAGTAATTCCATATTCATAATAACCATCATTTCATAACACAGTTACTACGATGTTGGGACTAGCCAAGTTTCTCACTGTTCGGGAGAGACGGCGATTCGAATTGATTTCAACCAGCTGAGAGTTTATTACTAACACAAACCTAGGCAGACCAGATCAACGGTCACCTTAGGTCACCTTTGGTACAACTCAGGTACACATTTCGTGGGTTCGACCAGCGCCGCACAATTAGGGACAATCAGCTGCTAGGACGATCAGGACTACCCTGCTCTTAGGTTCACGTCTGGCTCCCCACACATCTTTACTATCATCCAGAGTGCGCACTTTTACAGAACAGAGCCCGACCTGAGTTGAGCTACTCGGCTTCGCGGTCGGAACGAGTTATCCGGCCAGCTAAGTGAGAGGCATACGTTCAAACCTTTTAGAAGCACCAACAACAGTACTGTCCTTAACCGGCACAGACGGAATCACATGAGTCAACCTACACATAGATTTTTTTTGATCTATTCAGTAGGGAAAGCCCCTACCTGATATTTTTTTGGATTTCAATTAAAATAAAGAATGTTCTGTACACAAGAGCAACAAAAGAAGAAAAGGTACAAGGCCATAATGCCCAAAGGAGAAAAGAAACGAAAAAACTAAGTAAAATTCTCCTTCCAGTTAATTAGCGCAGCCTGTCTACTTGGCCTGGCCTTTGTGCAAACACGGTCAAGCTCCTCCTTGAACTGTCTTTTTCAATTGCTGAGGTTGGGCTGCCCATTATAAAAATTGACTGCATTTCTTGTTACCCAAATGATCCAGCATGCCGTGATAAAAATTTGTTTGAAAATTGGAGTTCCAAAGGATGTTCTGGCATCAATAATCATATCTAAAGGTGGTAAATTTTGGTTCCAACATATAGGGATGTTGTTCCAACATGCTGTACTGAAGTGGCATTCAAAAAACAGATGCATGCTAGTTTCCTCAAAGTCAGAGTTACATAGGACACAATTGTAATTTTCTAGATCCATGTTCTTCCTCCTTAATAAGTTCCTTGTGTTGATTCTATCCCTGAGCAAGAGCCAAAAGAAAAACTTATGTTTACCAAGGTTGCTGGAGGCCCACATCCAATTGAAGAGTGGAGAAGTTTCTGTGTGGCCAATCATAATTTTGTAAGCCTTCTTACTACTGTACTTGCATGATCCCCAAGAATAGCACCATATGTCCTTTGTATCTGCATTCCAAGTTCTCTGCTGAATGAGAGTTTCCCCATAGATTTTGCCCGGCCTCCATTTCTATTTCCCCATGGTTCTTTTCCATGATAGGAAATATAGCCAACCATACTTTGGTATCCACCTATATCTCGTAGGTGATAGAAAATCACCCGACTTCTACCGGTCTAAGTATGGCTAAGCATATATTCGATCCTGGACCTACACAGGGTTAAAGGTATATGTAAGTGGACAAGGTAGTTCTATGCATCAAGTGTTTCTAATCAACTCTTATAACCTAATGCATCAAACATAAAGGACTCAAGTGATATTTTGTAAAATATGGGAGACTTAGAATGCTCCGGGGCTTGCCTTTGAGGAAAGAGGTTGGACGATGATCCGGGTACTCAGGGAGGTCCTCGAGGGTTTGCTCCTCTTCTCCTGGAGCTGTGGCCTGAGGTGTCTCCTGCAGATCCTCCTCTTCTTCTTCATTGAACTCCAGAAGGGTTATCCCTTTGGACGATCCTATATGCATGAGCATGAAATAAGATATCACGAATGCATATTTGGTGACATGTATAATATGATATGATGTGATGAATGTATCCTCATAAGTATTTCTAACAGCATTGTATTAAGAGATAACAAGTCACATTTTCTTTTACTGAGTAGGTGCATATTTCTTCTCTAGTAACTTAAGCAAATACTTATGTAAATTATTTTCTGGATTACAAAACAGCAGCCACTAGTTAATTTCTCTTCGCAGCAGCTGATATTTAAAGCCTTGCAAATAACACAATCTTCTCATCAGCAAATTTTTTCTTTCCCCTACGATTCATGGCTTGGTCTGATGAAAGCTATTTTTTTTTCTTTTTCGTCTTTTATTACTCCTCCATTGCAAGACAACACTAGCTGTATCTGGACAAAAATGTGACTGCAATCACATGTATTTTGTGTTCCTGTTTTTGTTTATCTGTTCTTTGTTTCCATCTGGGCAAAATCTGCCATTTTTCCCTATGCTATGTCCAATGATTGTCTAAATTTTTTCCCTCTGTATAAAATCGATCCAATTGTGCATATGCTTTCGTCAGAGCCAAAAAAAACTTCAACCTGTCCTTTGATCTGCTGCAGCAACGCTAGATTCTTTATAGACTAGTCCATCACGCGCGCCATCGCGCGCGCCGGCAAATCACCTGGTTAAGGCGCAGGGAATAAATATGTTTAAGCTTTGCATGGAAACAATATTAGGAGTCTAATGTAGATATATCAGGTATAAAAAATGAAAGATTGGAGCACAATAATTAGCATACTTTGAGCCTCATCATACACCTGCAAGCAGAACTGTACGTATCATAAATAGGAACTCATCAATAGGATAACAGCCATGTCGTGTTGTAAGTGATCAACTGATTTCGATAGAGAGAGATATGTAAAAATAATTTGGAAATCAACGTATCCACCTTGTAAGCTACTCCCTCCATTGCAAATTATAAGACGTTTTTGCTTTTTAGATACATAGATAGTAGATACATGACAAAAGTAATTTATGTAGAAATGACAAAATGTCTGCATGTTTATAACTCAAATATTAGTTAAGCTAAAGCGAAATAATTAACATGACACTGACCACATCACAAGCAG